CGCTTGTTGTTTCGGGCAGTGGGCCGGAAAATTAATTAGCCGGCGGGTTAGCCGAGCTGGCCGGGCTGCCGGGCTGGCTCGGGGGAACACTCCCAGGGAAAATACATCGGGAACGGTGGAGGAGGGGGTGGGTCCGTGGATCATTTTCTTGCGCCTTTCTTTCATCTCTAATACAGATAGAACCCCAAGATCACATTTTCCAGTCCACTGCATGCACTGCACTTCGTCGTCGTAACCAGCGCATGTGGGTTAGAGAAGGCAGAGTGGATTCCTGTTCACAGCAGACAAGCAAAGTCAATTAATTCACACACATCACGCATTTTCAAGCCCAAGAAGCCACGTAAAGAGATCGTTTCATTCAATCCAACAGTAATTCCAGAGAGCCAGCCGTGAGGCGAGAAGATATAGCTGCTGAAGCCTTTTTTTTTCCCCAATCATCTTTGAGAGTTTTCCTTTTCGGTCCTCCCACCCATATTATAGATCGAAGCCTTTCCTTCCTCCTCAGATCATCATCCCCCTCCTCCTCATCATTGCATCTCCTTGCATGCCATCCCATCCCATCCCATCACCCACTCATCCTCCCCTCCCCTTCATTCATCCATCCATTCGCATCACGATCTTGTCCTCATCCAGGCCTATATATATATCTATATAAATATATATATCTAACCAAGGAAACAGAGCCACACGACACGCCGCGACACGCACAAAGCCGATCGATCGATCGATCGCGAAAGAAAGGAAGCCGCCGTCTTCACACAACGAGTAGATAGAAAACTAGATATCTCCAAAAGGATGGTAAGAATAAGATACACGCCAAAGACAAAAAAGAGCCCAACCCAACCACCCTCCCGCAACGGAGCATCATTCAAATCAAAATCAAACAGGGGTAAAAATAAAATTGAAGAGTCTCCTTTTTCTTCTGTCTGCTTCTGCAACCCTAGAGATGCAGATGTGTAGGGTGGTGTCGATCGATGTTCCCGCGGGCTCAACCGACGGTGGGGGAGAGAGGAGCTGGGAGAGGGAAGGAAGGAAGGAAGGAAGGGTATCGAATCCGAGAGAAATCAAAAAGCAGAAAGCAAAGGCTGAAGCTACAGCAGAGCAGAGCAGAGCAGATAGATGTAAACTGTAAACGAAAGCATAAATCAAAAAAAAAAAAAGATTCCTCGTGTAGTCATACTGGTGAGGACGTTTCTCATGAGCTCGTCGTGTCGTGCGTGCTTTCGATTTAAATCATGCCTCCATCCATGATCATGGCGGCCTTGACTTCGCGCGGATGGCGCTCTGTGGTCAGCTGCTGTTGGGAGGCAGGACTCGGGGCAGCCTGTCTATTGTTGGGACCAGCGCTCCAGAGGCCGGGCACGCTCTCATAGGGGCTCTGCTCCGCCTGGGGGGGGCTCCGAGTCCGGTCGAAGTTGGGAGAGGCCCCGTTTCGGCCCCGGCTGCCGCTGCGGAGACGCTCGGCCGCGCGGTTGAAGCGGCTGGTGATGCTGTTGTCGTTCTCGCTGCGGCCGCGGTGGTGGCTGATGGCTGCCGGGCGTTGGAAGTGCTGGGGAGCGGCGGGGACGTCGAGGATGGGTTGGTTGATCGGCTGCTCATCATGGTCATGATCATCGTCGTCGTCGTCGTCATCGTCCATGACAATTTCGATCACACCGGAGCCTTGTGAGACGCCCGAGACCATGGAGTTGGTGTTGGCGTTGTTCGGGCGATAGAGCGGAGCGGGTGGTGGCGGTGGAGGCGTCGCGAGATGCTGGAGCTCTTTGAGGATCGGGGGCGCCGGAGGAGGGGGCGGGGGAGGGGGGGTGAGATTCTCGTTCGAAGGGTTGAGAGGCTGGCTGCTCGCCTCGAGGGTCTCGTCGATGCCACTCATGATGCCGGGAACGCCGCTTGCATAAGCTGGTCGCAAGTTCTGGGTTTCGTAGCCAAGGGTACCGGGCTGAGACTCTCCGGGACTGATCTTTCGAGGAACGAGGAGAGGGGCGCCGATGGTACTTGGGTCCTGTGTCTTCCTCCTGCCGCTCGGGGGAAGAGCTACATGGAAAGCTGGGTGCAGTGGGAGGCCAGCAGGAAGCGCCTTGGGCGAGCTCGGTGGCTCCTCAGGGATGGGGGCAGAAGCAGATCGGGGAGGCAGTCGGCGAGGCGCGGCTTGATACGTTGTCTTGGGCAGAGGAGCGAGATTCGCGAAAGCGTTGTTGTAAGTGATGGCGTTCAGGCTGCCCCAAGAAGCTGGCTGCGCTGGATCATATCTCTCGGGGATGTGAGGGACGTGAGGGATATCTTGGCCTCCGGGATCATACTTGGGATGTCGCATGGCTCTTGGTGTAGCTGGCAAGCCGAGTTGCATCGACGCGCGCTCGGCAGTTTTCTCGAGGGAGCCTGGCGAGGTCCGAATGTTTGCTGGGGATGACGTCTGGCTGCGCGATGTTGGTTGCGCCGTCGAGGTCTTTGGAGACGGGTAACTTGATGCCCGAGCGAACTCGGGAGAGGGCGAAGGGCGATGGTTCATCGGTGACAACTGAGCAAGCTCTTCAGGGTGAACAATAGGAGGCACTGAGGGACGCCCAACAAGCGACTTTCTCCTCTCCTCAAGATCCCGGGCAGCTTGTTCCTTTTTGAGCGTGCGCTCGTCCTTGATCTGCTTGATGTCGCCGAATCTGTGATCAGGAACACCTCGAATTTGATCAGAGACAGTCCGAGTATGCGCAGGACGCTCTTGTCTGGGATGAGGTGAGGTTTCCTTCCTTGTTTTGCTCGAGTCTCGCTCCCCACGAATTCGACTGCTTGAACGATCGCGGCGCCTCCTGTCCGGTGAAGGATCGCGAATAGCACTGGTACCGCGTTCTCTTAGTCTGCTGTTACTCCGTTGGCGGGATCTGAATCGCTTTTGCTCCAGATGAACCTGTTTCAACTCCTCATGGTCCTCATCGTCTGCTTGGTAGAATTTAGTTTGCGGTGACATCGGGACTGGTGATGAGGGAGAACGCATTGTTGAACCTTCACGACCCTTGCTTCTGCCTCGACTTGTGTCGATGAGCATGAGCCTACGCGTATCAGGACTAGGTTGACGGCTACCGTTGCGGCTTACCACGCGGCTAGGAGGCTTGCTACCGGTATTAATCTGCGAGTAAGATAGAGCTTCTGGCGATGTTCGGCGAACTCTACTTGAAGGTTTTGAAGCCTTGACTCTCAATTGGCTGGGATCTCTAGATCTGGTAGCCGGGAAAGATTCATCGCCGTAACCAACGGCCCCAAGATCTCGGAGATCTTCTGGGGACATGGGAATTGGCGATGTTGGTGACCGTTTTGCTGGCTTGATATATCGAGCTGCGCTTCGACCTCGATCCTCCGAGATTTCCCGGGCTTTGGGTTTACGGCTCCCACTGCGAGCTCTACCGTTGCTCTCTCCCTCCCTGCTCGCTTGTCTTCTCTGCTTATTGGCATGGTGCTGTGCCGACTCTAGGCTGCTGATGTATTGGTCCAAACTTCGCCCCGTTACAACTGGACTTGCGGTTCCCAAGCTTCTGTAACTTCGCTCACTTGTCAAGGGACTTCGATTTGCCATGGTGGTGTGAGATGCTGTAGAGCCAGCTGTACAACGACTAGTCGCCGTTCTGGCTCGCGATGATGTGACGGAAAGGTCAGGGGAACTCATGTAGTCGCCAGTTATGATTGACTCCATTGGAGGCCATTGGATTTGGAGACCATCAGGCTTGCGATCCCGGGAGCCGTTGCGAGTACGGGCGTTTTGCTTCGTGAGACTGAAGGACTCAGGAGATGGCGACGGTAGAGGGTTCAACTCTTTGTACTGTTTGCTCTTCTGCATCATAGGACTGGCGGTCGCGGCTCTGTTGAGGGGAACGTATGTTGCCGAGTTGAGCTGCATGGTCTCGGGCTGTGATGGCTTCCGCTCGTGAGAAAAGGCTAGGCGGTCGCTCTTCTCTCTCTCGGATCCGGAGTCCACAGGAGTTGGCAATTTGGCAGGTTCCAGAACTCTTTGTGGGATTACGTCTGATGGCGTCTCACCAATGGAAGGTAGTCTCTGTCGTGAGAAGCCACCGGGAGTCGCAGTTCGAGCCGATGCAGGCGTATGATAGGCACTACGATGACCTGGTCGGAGGAAAGCTGTGTGTGCAGTATCACCGCCACCAGGTGAAAGAGCGGATTCTGCGATGGGAGTGACACCGCCACCAATCGGGGTTCTCTCATCTTCGCCTAATCCGAAAAACTTCGACTTTCCACCTTTGTCACCAAATGAAGTGATGAGCTTCAGAGCAGATGTCTTCGCAATACTGCGCTGAGGACCACGGGCTCCAGGCGGGGATAGAGGCGGGCTGAGCATCTCTGGAATGCTCATACTCTGCATCTGGGAGAAGGTAGCAGCTTGAGCAGTAGGGGATACCCATGGCTCTGATGGTTCAGTACCGGTGCAAGAGAAACATCGAATCGCCAACTGTTGTTGACTATGCTGGACCGCCCATTCACCCCACTTCCTAATCAACTCTGCTTGTCGCTGCCAATCCGCAGGGAATACCAAGGAGACCAATATCAGAGCCTCCATGTACCTCTTGTGGGATACATATATCTCGATAGCATCATTTTGATCACCCATACCAATCATGATCGTCGCAGCGGTGTGCACATCTCCCTTCTCAAGAAGACGCTGAACGTATGCTCGAGCAACCTTGGTCTGGGAGGCATGGCCTCCAATACCACTCAATGCCAAAAGCATCCAGTCGGAGGAGGTCATAGACTCTGAGCTCGCCGCCATGATATCGGTGTCGATGTCGCCTAACCATTTGGCGAGAAGTAGACCGTTTGGCGAGCCCTTGGGGTGCCTGCTCATCTCGTCTTTGATCAACTCTTCTGCTTCACCATCCCACCCGAAAATCGTGCTCAGCATTTGCCGACGAAGATCATTGTTCGTCAATGGGGTGTTATCTGAAACTTTGGGATGCCGGTAGGGAATGTCGCTTAATCTAGACTTGGTGAACTTGAAAAGGTCGACAACCTTGCCATCATCCGGACTCCGCAGGACCTCCTGACGCAAGCGAGAGCCTCTCCCGGGTCGCGACCGGCCTGATGTATTTGACGCGGAGCTCATGCTGCTTATCGACTGAGTATCACGACTGGACACAACCGAAGGCTCTCGAGTGGAGTGGAAGGAGGAGCCCATAGACATCGTAGTGCCATCACTCATGCCACGCGACACGGTCGAAGAGTGCTTGCGGTACTGGGTTCGAGATCCGGCCGATGACCTGGAAGTAGTCGACGCGTGGCTCCTCGAAGAAATCGGGCTGAGGGTATCATCGCGTTCTGGTACCTGGCCGTCTGTCTCAAGCTGGTCCATCTCTCTGGCAATCCTCGCCAGAGGGGACATGTGATCTTCATCGCTTTCCGAGATGTCGATGTTGATTGGCACCGAGGAGAATTCCTCGCCTTCCGTAGGCGCCGAAGCCTCTCGATTCTTCTGTTCTTCGATGGATACTGGTGGCGACGGAGGGAGCAGATTGGCCGGATGCTGTACATTTGCCACCAATTGACAGGGTGAGTTCAAGTCGAACTGCTGGGCCGTGTTACTCTGGCCTAATGTGAACAGGGTCGCACCGGGACCATAGACGGCGAGGCCCCTAACCTGGCCCAGAGTGGGAACCGACTCATAGGTAACGTGCTTCGTCCGAACATCCCATGACGATGTTTCGCTGTAGGGGCTGTGTCAGCGTGGTCCCAGTCTGTCCTGCTAAGCGCGCGCGTTGGTAGATCGCTGCAAGTCAAGCCCTCCCTGGGAGAAGGACTGGAGCGGAGCAGAGGAGAGGGAGGAGAATAGCGAGAAAACCGAGAAAAACGAAAAACGAGCGATCACTTGACTGACCCTTCCGAATATTGCACTATGCGCCCATTCTTGGACCACCCCAGCCAGTTCGGACCCGTTTGGAAGTTGTCGGTTCGTCTGAGGACTCTGACGACTTTCGCCTTGTCGTTGCTGGAGGGTGACTTGGCGATGCTCCAGACTCGGAGGTCGCCGTCGTTTGTTTGTGTCGCCAGCATATCGGACTTTTGGCGCGAGGATGAAGCGTGCCATGCCAAGGTGACAATGGGCGAGGGCCCTCTGGATGTGGTCAAATTGTGAAGAATGGTAAATCGCGGCTGGAGCGCTGCGATGAGGAGCGAGCCATTGGCGAATCTGCGGTGGTGTCAGCTACTTATAGAGAGATGAGATGAGTGAGATGAGATGAGTGAGATGAGATGAGTGAGATGAGATGAAGATGGAGGTTGTAAAAAAGTGAATCAACATCAACAAACAGATAAACAAACAAACAAATCAATAAATAAATACTCACCCAATAGCATACGTTCTGCAATCTGCGGCCGGGGCGATGGCGGTGATGGGGATCTGGTCTATTGTTCTTGCGGAAAGGTGCTCTGAGGTTGTCGGTTCGAACAGAATGACATTTCCCTGGGAGTTTCCTAAGCACGTTCCTTCGATTAGCCCACCCGCACCAAAACAATCCGCCCAGTTCGGAAGGAGCTCATCTTGGGTCGGTTTCCTCACCAAAGGCCACATTCCCGTTCCGCATCCACGCCGCCACCGTCAGATTCTCATAGGATGCAAATCGTGCGAGCTCGTCTCCCGTCATGCAATCCCATACAATGGCCGTCTGCCCAACATCGTAGCTCACCACCAGTCTGCCCGCGCCCCTCTCGCTCACGGTATCCACGGCCAGCAACGAGATTTCCTCAGTATGTCTCGAGAAGAGGCGCTCGATCTTCAGGGTGTCGTGGTGTGCGCAGACCACCGCGCTGCCTTGCGCGTAGAGGAACATGGACGCCGTGGCTGCACATGGATCGAAATCTCGAGACATCTCTGGCACAGATACCGGGAGAGGCAGAGACTCTGGCATAGGCATAGGCATAGGCATAGGCATGCTTGCGCTCAATTCTGACAGCGTTGCCAACCTGCCATTCCCTTTCGAAGACTGACCCGAGCTCATTGACACCGAGCGGTGTCTCGAGAGCTGTCCTGACATGGCGACTGTGGTCCGTCACCTCGTCCTCGTTATCTGCGATACGAACAAGACGATATATTAGTCGGATGGCCGCATAAACACGCACGTTCCTAGACAGCGACTACAGCAGATACGTCTGGACCCAAATTCTGGAGATCCAATATGTTTTGTACAGTGGGACAGGAAGGAGGAGCGAGCCACCTACGGATCTCAATGTGTCTTGCCGCCCCACTGGCGGTTGTAGTAAGTAGTCCTGCAGTACAAGGCTGATCAGGTCCACGCCCAGTTCTTCTCAGTCGTCACATGGAGTTTCTTGCTGCCCGACTTCGGTTGCAATCCTAGAGTGTACCGAGTGTCCGGCCTCCGTGCCTGTTGTACGGCCCTGGATAGCCGTAATGCGTGGTTGTGGAAAGCTTCAGATGCTGTGCGATGATCGAGAAGCAACACAGAATGAGAGGAGAGACTTTGGAGTACAGCGCAGAAGATTAATGGTAATAGCACGGGACCTCGTGGGAGCTACGAGACGAGAGAATCCGAACGTTTATCGCCTCTTGGGGCCCGTCTGGACCCAAGGAAATGCAAGAGCGGTAGTCTGGCGCTTGTATCGGGGGCCAACGGGCCAACGGGGGATGGAGACAGGAGGAGTGGCCCGTAGCAATGGCGACCATATATGGGCTTTGCTTCATCAAGCCGGCGCCCGAGAACGATGATCGAGCAAGGCGCCTAAGTCACAGGTGCTGGGAGCTGTCAGTGGTTAATCCACCGACCGAATTAGATATGCATGTCCGGCCGAGAAACCATGGGATCTTGCGGATGCGGTCCGGTTCATCTGGATGCACCGAGTCGCAGCGCGAGTTTCTAGGATCACTGCAGCCACCTACCTGCATACCGCTTCGGGGGGGATGGGGGGGAGGGGGTTGGGCTGGCACCCTCGAGTACCATGGCGGAGAATGGTCTACCTCGGTACTCCGTAGCATCGAGGTATGGGATGCCAGGGCATGGCATATGGGGGCGCTCATGGCAATAAAGTGCACACGCATGCCCGGCACCACGGTATCTGATCGGATCTGGTATGGACCGGATGATCTACGAGCGCTCACTTTCTCTTGTCACCTATCAGTCACCATCACACGCTATCCTGCGCCCAGGGGGGGAAGTAGTTCTGGGTACCGACGAATCGTTACACGAGGTTGGGGGAGAGGAGAGGAGAGGAGAGGAGTGGATACGAGAGGGGAGGAGTCGACATGAGAGGAGAGGATAGTACAGTACAGTACAGTACAGTACAGTACAGTACAGTACAGTACAGTACAGTACAGTACAGTACAGTACAGTACAGCACATTACGGTGGAGACCTCGGGATACCTCGATCGTGGTAGGCAATGTCCATCCTGGATGGATTATGTATGATCCTGGTCTGGTGTGGGGGGACGAGGTTGTGGAAGGGAGAAGGGAGAAGGGAGAAGGGAGAAGGGAGAAGGGAGAAGGGAGAAGGGGAAGAGAAGGGGGAAGGGAATGGGTGGATTGGAATAGACGGAATGGACTGGACTGGACTGGACTGGAGTGCAGTGCAGTTTGCTCAAGAAAGGGAGAGGCTGGTCCGACGTCCATCATGGGGAGCCCGCTAAACGATCGATACAAATAAATAAAGGACCCCTCCCCCATTGGCCTTCACAACAGCATGCAGGCGCAAGCTTCAATCACCGACATCCAACCAACCGCCGTCCGGAAGCGCCCTGTGAGCGAGCCAGCAAGCACAATAACGCTGCACTGAGCTGAGCTTCATCTCGGCCCCCAAACCCCGAGAGCCCAATATCTCAAGCACAAGAGGCAGCAGTCCATGTGTGATGGGATTGCCGACATTACTTATAGCCCATCTCCCTCGTCGCGAGATCCGTTCGGGTCCATCCCGCCTCCATGCTTCCTTATCTCGACCGTTTGTTGGAGGAAAGTTTAAATTGCTTGCAAGCATGGACAACTAATTGATGTGCGACATCGCCTGCAGGAGAGGGAAGAGGACAGCACATAGCACAGTACACCATACAGCATAGCACAGCAGAATCCCGGGGAGCATTGCTGATGCCGGCCAGCGCAGAGGCCACCGCGGGGTAGGCAGACAGACGACAGACTGTTGCTTTTGAATTGTTCGAGCATGACGGAGCCCAATGTCAGGCCCTTCTCCTAGAGAATCTTTTGCTGACTCACCAAGCTCGGAGGTAAGGTTTCACTCTCCGTGAAGTTTTCAAGTGGATCTCACAGTTAGAGTCTCTTTTCGTAGGGCCTGAGGTCAGACTGAACCATTAGTAAGCGAAAATAGCGATTTCAAATTTGATCGTTTTACATCTTTATCTTTAAAACTTATTAAGAACCATCAATCAAAAATCCGCTCCTGCTAGATAATGGCTAGATTAGATTTTTATTATAATTATACATCAGACCCAAGCTAAAAATCCCTCAGGGTGGCACTTCTTTCGTTGGCGCAAGTCGCTTTTAATTATGAAATTCCCGATTTCAAATTTCAAATAGCAATTCTTTGGTCTTTACATCTTATTCATTTGCTACCACAACAATTTGATTAAAAAGGGCAGCCGTACACTTCTAGCCCATTTAAATCTGCGCGAAATGAAACAATTTTTATTTTTCCTTTACAAGCTCAGGGTAGCACTTTTTCTTTGCTAAATGGCAGTAGGAACGCGGAGCTAGTCGCCTCAGATTTATTTAGTGTTTGGATTCTTTTTCCTGGTCTTTTTATTCTTTCCACTTTAGAAACTTTCTTCATCACCTCTCAATTACTACTACAAGCAAATCCGATCAAACTAAAAGATTCCCTGCTATGTTTCTTTAAAAAAGCTTGCATGTTATATTCATTATCTACTTACGATTATAATACTATTCCCCCCCCCCCATAAATATATGTTGGACCCAGTTTAGGCCCACAAATCATAGAGCGGTGGTTTCTGAATGGCCCAAAGCCCTGTCAACTCCATTATACAGACTAAAAACTGACCTAAATATACTTTTCAAGGCTGGATTCTTATAAGTTGATTGGTTTAAGCCTTGGTAAGATCCCTTACGAAATTATACTTTCGATATGTATTCATGGGGGGTTGGGGGGATAGTATGAAATATCAATCGGTTCTTATCATGATAATGATCGGTGGAGGAGGGCTACGATTCTTTACCTATACGAAGTGCCCCTACGAACCTTCAGCTCTTTTTCTTTCTTTTTCTTGCGGTAGAAAGAGAGATAGAGAGTCTGAAGGGCCGAAATTGAATCATCGATATGCGACGTCTTTTCGAAGAGATCTTTTTTTACCGGCGATTTCGAACCTCCTTCCTTTTTCTTTTCGAATACTACGCCGACTACGATTTATACTTGACGGGCATACCGATTAAAAAGACTAAGAGGATTTGCGATAGAAAAAGAACGTGTATAAGAGATAAGATAAGAAGAGCTTAATTCGATTGATCGAAAACACGGTATTGCGCTTTCAAAAGAGCGTTTTGTAAATATACTAGCTTTATTTAAAAGCTACGAACGCGAGCCTTTTTAGCTTTACGACGAAAGAGAACGATATTTGTATTATACGGATCGAGGCCGCTCGTAAGGCCACACGTATTCGACAGTTGTCGAGAGAAAACTCGACGCATAGTATTATGAATTGCGTTTAAAAGGTTTATAAGTATTTAATTATTTAACGAAAGGTTTTCCTTAACGTAGTTTTTACTTTCGATTAAATAATACTTTATATATAATTCTTTTATTTAGCACGTCGCCGTACTTTATAAGAGGTCCTTAAGGTCTAAGCATTGCGTTTTAGATACCCGCCCGACGTTAATAAATGCAATAACAATAATAATAACAACATAATGATCGGTGGATTTTCAAAAATAAAAATTTGAAATTCTGAAGGGATTATATGTATAGCATGTAGCTATTTATTAAAGCTCACAATCATTTATTAAAACCTACGGCTACTTGTTTGAATGCATCGCTATTTTTTCTTCTTTAAATATATACCGGTAGTAAGGCCGGCGATCGACGGGGCTAGTAAGAGTACTCTTTTTTAAATGTTTCGTAAGTTTTTAAATATAATTGCAAACATATATATATATATATATATATATATATATATAGAAACGCTTATCGAGAAAATGAAATAGCTTCTTAGCTTTTGAATGCTACGACCGGATCAAGAATTCATATAATAAAAGCTGGGCACTTCTGTAATTCTTAAAATAGATGATGTCGAATTTTGAAATCGATAATTTCGCCTCCTCAGTCCGTCCTCAGGTCTTTTGGCGAGGAAAACTCCTTTCTTGTGTTTGTGATTGGCTCCCGGGCGGATGCCGTGGGTGTAGGTACGGGGGACTTACTACGTACGTAGTACTACGTACGTGGGTCCAGGTGGGGTCTATGTTGATTTAAAAGGAGCAAAATGGCTTGAGTGTAAGCATAGCCCACTTTCAAATGCCCGGTTTAAAAAATTCATTTCCGAGCCCAAGACAGCCCGATCCACTTCCCGCTCGTTCCGACTTATTGTTATTGTACCGTACTACGTATCTATATCTGTGCGTATACGGAGTACGTTAATCCTTTCTTAATATACCGTTACCAAGTAAGAGAAGAGATTGTAATATTACCTATACTATGGCGATATTATTAATAGTTAGCTAAGCGTTCATTTGACTCTGAATTTAGGATGATCTTCGATTTTGCGCCAAAAAGAGGGTAAGTATTACTTAGCCGCACGATTATTTATTTATAGTCGACGTGGCGTATTTACTAATATTAGTTAAATGAGTATGATCAAATACCTACATTACAAAAAAGATATAGGCTACTAATATTAGTAAATGAATATGGCCAAGTACATGACAAAAAAGAAGTATATATATCCTTTAGCATACCTACACTTCCAGGTCATCTCAATCATCTCTCTCAGCATCTTCTTTCTTTTCAAGCTTATTCATCTTCAGCTCGCACTATCACTACGTCGAAAGACTTATCAACTTTCAATACTATTTCGCTATTTCCAAAATGATGTTCTCATCGCAAACTACTGGCTCGATCTTGCTGGCCGCCGGCCTTCTCTTTAAGATAGCTCAGGCAGAAGAGCTGATCGGTTACCGAGCTGCTTCTGAAGTAAGTTTCACTTGACTTATATAATATGTGTAAGCTCATACTAATTACGCGAATTATAGGAGGAAGCCAAGTACATCAATGACGAACATAGGCCTCACAAACAAGCGAAGTTTGATCAAGGAACCCTGACACAGTTAGGAGCAGGTCTTCATATCGGTAAGTTTTGATTTTATAAAACCGTCTTGTTTTATTACGCGGGAACTAATATGAATTGAAAAATAGTAAACTCACCTGCTAGCTTAAGTGATGCACGAGGAACCTGGTATTGTGCCTTCAAAGCGGAGATAAGCGAGATGAAAGAACTCGATAAAGTCTGGATCCCGATTAAGAACCCTCAGGATGAGGCCCCATTGTGGTTCTCGAGCGAGGAAACGATCATGACTTATGTCAATTCGCTGATTGACGACGACGCGGACGAGGCACTACGCTTGGCGTATACTAGTGTTGCGAATAATCCTAACGAGTTGGAGATGCTTCTTCCAATTGAGACGCTGGGTGACGATGACTTGGATTTGTGGGGTGAATGCTGGCAGACAAAGGCTGAGATGCAGGGAAAGTTCAACGAAATTGTTGATTGGAAGAGTTGGGGGAATATTGCTGGAAATCCTGGACCGCTAAGCCCCTCAAGGGATCTAAGGGCCCTGCCTCGTAAGCTAAGAGCTTGAAGGATGAGATGAATGAAGGGAATAGAAGAGAGAAAGAGAGAGAGAGAGAGAGATCTGGACTTTATTCAGAATTTTGGTTTTCAGTTAAGTTTTGATATTTCGAAAACACCTTCAAGTACCTATCGAGGACGCTAAGAATAATGCATAATCTTATGCACAAAAGCCGCGGGGTAGGGGAGGGGCCTTGCGGGGCCAGATAAGCGATCAGTATTATTTTGTGTGGCGGGGATATCTTAAGTAGCAAGATTATAGCAAAAAAATATCGAAGGGCGTCGGATTAAATAGTTGCTTAGAAATAAAAATCAACTTTTTTCGTTAAAAATTCGTGACTTTCTTGTTAAGAATTTGGCTTGCTTTACTTTCGAATATACTACGTAAAGGTTAAAGCTTTTATAAGATGGCTTATAGCTTAGCTTTGCGGTCTTCGGCTTTTATAGAATAATTTAAAGTATGATTTGTGCGATTTTTTTTAAAAAAATGGAACTTTCGCCTCTTACGACGATTTCTTTTTTGCTTTTTTTATAGCGAACGAACGAATGATTTCCGGTCTTCGAATAAAAATTAAAGAAAGGAAAAGAAACAAAAAGCTTGAACGAGCGCAAGAGATCTAATCGTCGGCTCGCTTAGGTGGGCCTCCTTTCATCCTTTCAGTCTTAGTCGGCATAAGCGATTGCGGATCGGAAGCGAATGCGGATTTTTTCGAATATGTTAGAAATTCTTTAATACTATAGCATTTACTATTACAACAAAGAAATATTTACATAAATAATTAATCGTCTGTTATACCGTCTTCCGAAACATCTAAAATCGTATCATCCGATGAGATATCTAACCATCGATCATTATTTTCATCAGAATTTGATTCGTCTCCTACCTTTCGCAACGAATCGTTTAAATCTCCACTACTATCAGAATTGAAGCCATCGCTATCGATATTAATACTAAGAAAAGAAATAATATCCTGCTTTAAAGAAAGGTCTCCGGTAGTATCGGTTATAATCATTAGATTATCATTACCGAAAAAAGGTTCAAGTTGAGAAAGAGTTGGTCGAAGAATACCTTTTTTACAAGGCCGCAGAATTTGACGTTCAAGAGGTTGTTGCATCCACCAAATCTCTTCCGAATCGAGAATTGGAATGAGTATTGAATCGTCGTCTTCAATAATTAAGCTTGCAGCAAAGCGTTCTCGTATAGTCCTTTTGCGCTCGCGTTCAGCTTTGCGTGATTCGACTCCTTTACGATACTCAGCATCTCTTTCCTCTCTCCAAAGCTTGTCGACGATTCGTTGTTGTTTTGCAGCAGATTCAAGATTTGCTTTAGCTTCTTGCTCAGCAGCAAGCTTATTACCAACTTGAAATGTTAAGCCTTCGGTGTGATGAAACCATTTGCGACTTTTTGTTTTGCTTTCTAGTTGGTCTTTTCGTTGTTAAGCGAGAATAGCTAATTCTTGTTCTTATAAAGTAGCTTTTACTGCAACTTCTCGAATACCTTTCATGTAAGATTCGAATTCTTATCGAGAAAGACTACTCAATAACTCGTTGCATTTATTTTGCCACTTCCACGAGCTGATTTCGACATGCGCTGGTTTCCGAGGAGTACGAAGAAGCTCTAGCTCGTCTTTGTTTACGTATTCGGAAGGCGTAAAGGTCTTGAGATTTTTTAAACATTGCGTTGCGTTCGGTAAGTACATTCCAGACTTCTTCCAAGCTTTTTTAATATTGTATCGACTGAGTGTTTGATTGCGAATATAGTCGAGATCGTTTAGGAAAGAATTGATTGTATACTCGACGTCGAGCTATGCAAGCGCAGCTTTAATCGCTAAGTCGTAGTAATGCTTATAAAGTTGGAAAATCCCTACATCAAGAGGTTGCATGCAATGAGTAAGGTAAGGAATCAACGAGTACAATAGAATGTGATTTTTGTTAACTAAATTGATGAATTCCGGAGTCCGATAGCTAGCGTGATTATCCATCAACATAAGCTTCCAAGGTTTATTCGATCCACAATCTGCGTTTTTGATATAATGCTCGAGGTATAGCAATGCGATTTTATTATCCGTGAATCCATTATCAGCTTCCTTAATAAGTGTGCCTGTAAAAAGGTTCGAAACGAACCATTGCTGCATGAGTCGTTTGCCTTGAATAAGAATCATCGGAAGAACAGGTTTTTAGCCAGTCGCATTGATCATCTCGATTATTGTTACGGATCTTCGATTCTCAAGGCTAACACTATAGAACTATATATAAAAATTAATATATAATATTAAATAAGTTATATAATACGATATAGCACGACATACCTCTTAAATAGATCCAAGAACTAATACTTCCGTTCCTCGCGGACAGCCAATACGGAACCCAGTCTCGTCGAAATTGATGATATCTTTAAGTCGAATATTCATCTTCTTCAAAGTGCGTCGATAGCTTTTGAACCACTTATGTACCGCGTTCGTGTCTTGCGCTGATATTCGGATTCGAGCGAGAGGTTTAGTCTTGATTTTATAGAGGCCACTCGTTTTCCACCACCTTGTAAACCAGCTCTAGCTCTGCGGCTTCGCGTATTCATCGTATGTTTTGCGTAAAGCGAATATAACGTTATAGATCAATTGCGGTGTAAGAGTAAGCCAATTAGCAAAGAGCTGAACGATGAATTGGCGTAACGCGTTGATATGCCAGCTTTGCAAGATCTTATTTTGACCGCCGCGCTTGCGATTTTTCGGTCGCTTGAAGTGACTGTTCAATATGCGCTCACTAAGGTCGTATATACGCGCAGCAGTTTTTTGAGTCTCTTAAGGGTATTCGGACAAGAAAGTTGTAGCGCGTTAGAGACGCGTCGCAAGATCTTCAATTGCATTAAGACTACCTGGTTGAGCGTGGCTTTTGTATTGAAAAATCCTTAAAGGCTTCTTCGAGCGAGTGCGTTTTCGGCCCATAATTGATTGTAGAATGCGATTGAATTGTGCGGTAATAGATCAAAGAATGATGTTGTAAATTGTATTTTGTATACAAAAACTAGTAGCAAAATAAAAAAAATCCGCATTCGCTTCCGATCCGCAATCGCTTATGCCGACTAAGACTGAAAGGATGAAAGGAGGCCCACCTAAGCGAGCCGACGATTATATAGTACTACGTACATGGCCATAAGCGCTAATCGTCGGCTCGCTTAGGTGGGCCTCTGTTACGGCTGTCGAAGGCAGTATTGTATTGCTACCTAAGAGTACGCTTTGTAATAAGAAAGAAAGATGAAGAAAAGAAGAAAGGAGTAGGTGCGAAAGAAGAGGTCTTGTAAGTAATCTTGCTAAAACGGGATCTTGAGTTCATGAAGTAACGTGTAACTTATTGTCACGGTATCAGAACGAGGTCTTAAAAGAAGGTCTAAATTATCTATAAAAAGAATAGAGATTCTAAGTTACAAAGAAATATATAAGAAAATAAGACGTCCAAGCACGTGAGTAAGCACGTAAGTAAACACGTAAGTGAACACGTGAGTAAACACATAATCGATACGTGATTTTGTCGAAGTTATTACCTTAAAGGGAAATGCAATAGCATTTAGACGGTCAGCTGATCGTCCGATAACCATTTCTTTTAAGGACGATTTTAATAAGTTAGCATGGCTAGTGGGTCACCCTAGGCCGAAATACAAGATTGAATAGAATTTAAAAACAAACGATTTGAATTATTTAAATCGTAGCTAAAATGGAATTATTTTACTCGATTAAATCGTCTTTTTTAGATATTCGTTTTTTCGTATAAAAACCGTCTTAGGACCGTTCTCGACTGTTTTAAGACCGTCTTATGGCCGTCTTATAGCCGTCCTTAAGCTTAAAACCGTTCCGGAGAACGTGAATTAGTAAGCAAATAATGTTTCTACTATCCCCCCCCCATGAATAAATGTCGAAAGTATAATTTCGCAAGGAATCTTACTAGGGCTTAAACCAATCAACTCATAAGGATTCAGCTTTGAAAAGTATCTTTGAGCCAGTATTTAGCCTATACAGTAGAGTTGGCAGGGCTTTAAGCCATTAAGAAACCACCGCTCTATGATTTATGGGCCTAAACTGGGTCCGACATTTATTCATGGGGGGGGATAGTATTGCTTGCTGGTCTACCTATTACTACCTGGACCACCCCTCTACTACATCGCCTAATTGTAAGGGCTAGAGAAGCGCACAATTTGCACGGGTAAACTTTCGCTAAACCGATTGATTTCGATTATAAAAAAATTAAAGCGTTGATATACAAGCCGTGGCAGCGATACCGAGAAATATCTTAGCATCGAATTTATTAAATTATTATTAAAACGATTTTATTTAAGAAATGATTTGTATTTACAACTATATTTTTTTAAAAATAATTATCGAACTATTTTAATTTTTCAAAACGAGCTTATTAATAAGCCAGTTTTAAAATAATAAACGAAGATAACTATAGGACGGCTATAAAACGGTCTCTTTTAATGGGACGGTCTTCTCGGTAAACTATTCCTGAATAGAGCTTAGTACTGAATTTAAGCGGTCCAATGGCTGTCTCTTTTAAAAGAGGATCAGAGGACCGTTCAAATGACCCCCTACTACCCTTTAAGGTAGTTTCATCCTCTTACATATGGTCCCTTTTATTTCGTCTTTTCTAGCGATTAGCGTTTTTTGAGTTAGCGATTTCCTCTTTTGTAAGCCATGATTTATATAAAAATCGTTTCTCAAACTCTATTATAAAAGCACGTGCGTTAGCTATATTTCAAAGTGATTCTTAAGATTTATTTTCGAGATCGTATCCTTTCTGTCATGCGTGACAGTAATACCTTACAGGATTACTATGTAATAGAAATACAACTACCTGGCTTCACTCCATCATTATTGCTTTATTGTCTCCTCCCTTGAACGTTGGAGGTGAGACAGAAAATCAAGTACCATATTTACCCATTGTTTTGCAATTGCAAGAGCTATTTACGAAGCTACGAACGTTCACAAAATCGCTACCGGCCATCCAACAGGTAAAGAATAGTAGCCCCCCCGTTAATATACGTAGGAAAGCCCTGATATGTAGTATAACTACGTGACAGGATTCGGAATAAAAGAATAAAATAAAATAAGATCATAGTCATTGCACTGTCTGTTTTTCTGCGAGCTCTCGATGATAATATCGAGCTCGCAGTCTAAAATAAGCGCATTGATTATCATTTGTCTAATAAAATACAGTTTAAAAGCTTCTCATCTGCCTGCCTCGTCTTCTCATACGCTAGCATCGCTATCCGCGCCGAGGCCCGCTATGATTAGTAAATAAGAATAAGTGCAATAGATAAGTGAATGGATCGCAAGCGACTGCAGCAATATCCGTTACGAATAATAATAAGCTATCACGAGCTGTATAGTGCATGAATCCTGTTGAATGAATATTGAGGTCCTATCTGAAATCTTAATATAAATACTCTCGTAAAAGTAAAGTAAAGTAAATAAATAAGCGGCCGACCTATGCGTCTTGTAACGCGACTATAGGGCCTTATATTGTTTGCTAAGGTATACAATCCTATTGTCATATCCTGTTTATAAAAAGAAAGAAAAGAAAGAAAGAATAGGATGACTCCGTGATTCGCGAGGGGAAAAAACGGTATGTCTTTATGAAGTCGTAAAAATAAGAAAAAGGGAGCGATTCAAATATCAATGATATTATATTATTCATTACTACGAAATAGCGACTTAGTTCCATTACTGTACTTGCCTCACCTTGTACTGTATAGGCCCAAGTATTACCCCTCGAAGGAGCCTAAAAAGTTGAATTTCCACTTTAAACCCCCTGGTTATCTTATCCTCAAGGGGTAATACTACTTAGGCCTGTACCGTGGTACATCTCTGACCTATTCATATTAAATTAAACGAAACATCGGTGATACACAGCTAATCGAATAGCGAATCAGAAAAAAAAAATGCGTGATTTTTTAAGAAACTTCTGCTCAATTCTTTTGTTTCTTGTATCTATATCTAATGGCCCAGCCTTTTTAGATATTCAAAGCCCCCGCTATTGAAAAACCTTTCCTCTATTGGCAAATATAAGAGCTGATCGCATCTTGAAATTCGGAATGAGTTATATGGTTCTTAAGGTTTTGCATCTTCCCAGGCGAAGTGAAATATCTGCCCGTGCATTCGGTATCGCTTATTTTGGTCAGCTGTTTGCATACTTTTTTGAAGAGAAGGATTCTTAAATAGAATAGAAAACAATTTGCTTACGCATATATAAAGCAAGTAAGACCATAAGTATCGAGAGAGCTGATCTGGTCGTCCAAATTACCCGTATCCAAGCTTGCAGTGTTCACTATGAATCTGATCAGCTTTGATTTTTATTAAAAAATAAAATAAAGAAAGGTAGGGTTAGAATGAAAAGATTAATCTTACCGCACGTATTAGAGGGAGCAGAAGGTTCGACGCACTTGTTATAATTCTTATCCTTGCAAAGCTTGATTTTCCTGTCCTCTCTAATAGCAACTTTAGCAGGTGCTGCTGTTACTATAGAAGCTGCGAGAGCGGCGGCGACGATGGCGTTCACGAATATCATATTGATAGATTGATGGAGAAAGAGTTTTCTTTAGAAAAAAAATAATAGAAGTTGATGAAAGTTGATAATAACGTTTGTAAAGACTATTTGTTTTAAAGGAAAATTGAATGAAGAAAGAAAAAGAGGATTTTTTAAAAGGGCTCTGAAGAGATATAAGTACGTAGTACTTTTTTCTATAAGCTCAAGGATAGATATACCGTTTATTCCTCCGTCGTACTACCTTTCCTTGGCTGTAACATCTATATTTGGTTATTAAGTTACGTAGTATGTGACCAGCGTTTGATCTGAACCTAAAAAGTATGCTATTACCCCTCCCTACCATACTATTCTCCCCCCCCCCCATGAATACATGTCGGACCCAGTTTAGACCCATATATCGTAGAGCGGTGGTTTCTGAATGGCTCAAAGCCCTGTCGACTCCACTGTATAGACTAAATACTGGCTCAAAGATACTTTTCAAGGCTGGATCCTTATATCACGTCCCAGGCGTAAGTATTATCCCTCGAGTGTAGGATAACCAGGGGTTTTAAAGTGGAAACTAGACTTTTGAGGCACCCTCGAGGGGTAATACTTAGGCCTGTACCGTGGTACGTACTGTAGTAGTAGTACTTAGCCCTGTACCGTGGTATATATGAGGGGGAGCGGGGGGTAATCAAGGCTTTCAAGTGGAAATCAAACTTTTAAAGCACCCCCAAGAGTGTAACATGGGGGAGAGTTATAGGGGTTACAGGAGTTACAAGAGTTACAAGAGTTACAGGAGTTACAGGAGTTGAGTTACAAGAATTACAAGAATTACAGGAGTTACAGGAGTTGAGTTACACGAATTACACGAATTACACGAATTACACGAATTACACGAATTACACGAATTACACGAATTACACGAATTACACGAATTACACGAATTACACGAATTACACGAATTACACGAATTACACGAATTACACGAATTACACGGAATTACA